TTCACTTCAGTTATTCTGAACTGACTGTGCTAGGCAGAGAAATGAAAGGTGGCTTAAGCAGTTACTGGYAGCAGAGATTGTTTGGTGGCAGGGAGAAAAGTGTATAAACTCTGATAAAAGATGCAATAGGGTTGATATCTCAAATCTGTATGCAGGAAGGTGCTGTTTTTCACAAAACCTGTGACTTGATTTTCCAAATGTCTTATTTCTGTTTAGAATTGTATTTTTAGGAAGCGTGTTAATGTCTGGTCTAGAACAAGCTCATTATACCCATAGTTAAACAAAATTGCAGCAGCCCTTAAAATAMAATGAATACACTTAATTTAAGTGTTTTCAGGGTGCTGTACCAGACCAGCATGGAATATAAAATTCAGCTACAAGTGAGAATGAAAACACACCTGTCTCACCATTAAGGCCATCTTTGATTTGAGAAYAGGGTTCAGCTTTACAGAACTTATAGGTTTTGAATTGTGACATTTGGACAGTCTGTTATTCTGCTTGTCCTTTGATTTCTTCCTTCCCCAACATCTTGAATTTTTACTTGGGCATTGCACGTAATGCCAGAGAAAGGACWAGTATTGATTTTTGATACTTAGGGTTGCTTCTTAGTTGTGGTGGTTGTTTTTCAGTGCTGTCTGTTAAGACATTCAAGATTTCCTCCTTCAAAAGGTATTGTTTAAAAGCCAGTCTCGTGCTGAGTGTGRCATGAGCCAGACAAATGGCTGTTGRAGAGTTGTTTGTGGTGATGTTCTTCAGGACTCTATGCTTCTTTGGACTACCTCTTGGGTTTTGAGGTCTTTTATTGCTGCAGTGGTGTTAGTGGAGTTGGTGTTTTTAAGGTACAGTTGCTTATTTAATCTGCTGGTGGTGTGGGTGGGAGGTGGTGGTGAGCAGTGGAGCAGGAGATGAACTCTTAGCAAGATGTTTCCATTCCTAAAGTCTGGTACTTGGTGTGTTCTAGTGAAACGTGGAGCTGTCTCTGATGGTGTTGAGTGGGTCTCTTAACCCTCGTTCTTTGCAGCATGGAAACTTTCATGGATGTCCTTCAAATACTCATGTAGTTGGTAGGCTTGGTTCGTTGTACTTCTCACAGTAGTGGAGCTGTGTCAGTAGTCTGTCAGGTGCTGAATAGTGACAAACTTGGAGCAAATGTCTTTGACTTACACTTCTCAAAACTGCRGACCCTGGGACCAAAAATAACCAAGAACCTCCCTGTCATTTAATTGGAAGTTTGTCTTYTGACTAGTGATGGAAGAATTAAATCCTGAACTACAGGCAGGGATCAGCCTTTTTCAGGGCACAATTGTCCCCAGTAATCATGTTGGGGTTGCTAAAATGAATCTGGTTTTCAGGTATTGGGTGAAATGTTGCTAATTTGGRAACTTTTCCAAACTGTTAAGAGTGAAGCCTGTGAATGTCACTCGAGGGTTTCTTTGGGACTGAGAACCTGTTTAAAAGCAGCTGTTCTATGACTGGTTAAACCTGGGTTCCGTCCTGTGAGCGAGGAACTGATGTGTAGAAATAAATACTGGATTATAAGCCATGGTGGTGTATTCACTTCAGCTCATCTGGCTGTGCAGGAAGGACCATTAGATCAGGATCATTTTAATGTTTGCTTCATTCTTGTCAAACCAAAAAGCTGCTAAAGCCACTGCTGTGTTACAGCTGTGTCCAACACAGCAGCAGAGCTCTTGTCTGTCCATGTCCTTTGCTGCACCACTGCTGAGGCAGCAGGAGCAGAGAGGCCTTGGCTCTCCTGCAGGATGAATTTGTACCATCCCATCAGCACAGTCAAGAGCAGACTCAAATAGGAGGTGAAATCACTGAATATTGCTGAAGTTACACAGCATTATTAGTAATTTAGCCAGCTTCCAGTAAAACGGGTAATGTAGATCCAAAGAAACAAAAAAATATGTTCTGATTGACATATCATTTGTTAATTATTTTTTATATGAGATTAATTACTATGGAGAGAACTGTTTTATAGCAATAATACAAAATATGGACTAGTGGGTTCTTTTACTCAAGATGGGTCAGGCAGCAGTTTTGAGAAGATTCTTTTGCAACAACCTTATTATAGTGGATTAAGAAACATTCACTGAAAATAAATTTTCACCTGATTTTTTTGTTCATTGAAAAAGTATATATATATGGGTATTCTATTTTCTATGATATACACTTGGAAATAAGTAATATAAGCAATACTGATGTTCTATTTAGGTAGCCATAAATAGTTTAGAAATTAGAAAATTAAAACAATTGTTTAAGAGTTGGTAATGTCTAGTACAGTAATTTTCTTATTTGTTTCTTTTTCCCCTTCCCTAAAACTGGAGTTAAGGTTTTCAGTGTATCGGTGTCTACATCTTCTGTTYAAAACAAATGTAAACACTGTGTTGCATAGGACTTGAAAAATTGCACTAATTTTTAAACTTTTGGTTCTATTTTTTTCTTTGGGAAAAATTCTTTTATATTCACATAAAGATTTTTAAAATTAATTCTTTGGTGTCTTTATTCAAAGCCTATATGGTATTTCTGGGCAATGCACAAAGTGGATCTGCATGTYGGGTACATTTACACCATCAAAAATGTCCTGTTTGAGGATAAACATGTATTATAATGAGGGTATGGATGTAATTAATATATTACATCACARTATGAATTGTGCTGCTTTCCTCTGCTGTTTCCAGGTCATTCCTCCCACCCAGAGCTGTTTTTCTCTCCTCAGCCCACTAACAGAGGGCTCARAGCTGGGACCTTGTGAAGTGAAAGAATTAAACCCCACTACAGATTGGCTGTGAAGTGACCTCAGTAATKGTTAATTCTGCTGAGGTTGGTGATGGTCTCTGCCTGTTTKCAGYCCCACCTCAGAGGCACAGAGGRCAGGTACAGCTSAAAATCACTTWAATC